TATCTATCTATCTTTCTATCTATCTATCTCTCTATCTCTCCACCCATCTATCGCTCAAAACTCTCTCTATCTATCTATTTATCTATCTATTTGTCTATCTATCTATCTATCTGTCTGCCTATCTATCTATCTATCTCTCTCTCTCTCTTTCATCTATCTATCTGTCTACCTGGCTATCTGTCTGTCTATCTATCTATCTATCTGTCTGTCTATCTGTCTATCTGTCTATCTGTCTACCTGTCTACCTGTCTATTTGTGGTGCAGTGTCATTCAGTGCAATGTAGAGTAGTGAAATGTAGTGTGGTGTAGTGGAGTGTATCATGTCATCATGTCGCCGTCGGATATGTTTGGATCAAAGCATTTCGCCACTGGGTGTGCCACGATGAACATAAACGTTAACATCATGCTGACCCCTATTCATATCATTCGCATGGCACCTATCTCACTAGAATTTACCAAAGAACATAAAACATCATTTTTTCGGGGGTGCGCTTCATCTCGCCTCGATGAAGCACAACCAAGTGCTTGGGAGCACAACCAAAGTCATTTATCGCACAAAAATGAGCTTGGTTGCGCCCCCAAACGCTGGGTTGCGCTTCATCTCCCCTCGATGAAGCACAACCTTGTTGATCTTCCCAATTGAATGCAAAGTTTAACCGGGGTGGGAGTTTAATATTCCCTAATACCCTTGTTGATCTTCCCAATTGAATGCAAAGTTTAACGGGGATGGGAGTTTAATATTCCCTAATACCCTTGTTGATCTTCGCAATTGAATGTAAAGTTTAACGGGGGGGGGAGTTTAATATACCCTAATACATTTGTTGATCTTCCCAATTGAATGCAAAGTTTAACGGGGGTGGGAGTTTAATATTCCCTAATACGCTCGTTGATCTTCCCAATTCAATGTAAAGTTTAACCGGGGTGGGAGTTGAATATACCCTAATACCCTTGTTAGTGGGAGAACCTCCACAGAGTCAACCCCTAACTTGGTTGACCCTCTGGAGGCCCCTCCACCGGGCCCACGTATTCGGAGTTCGGAACGTACTTGTACAGAACAAAAAACGATACTTTATGTATACTTAGTAGAAATCACAAGGTCAACAACTAACCAAAAACATTAGTTTCTGTGGACCCGGTTGGGCTTTATGTAAACTTGCTAGAAATCACAAAGTCAACAACTAACCAAAAACAATAGTTTCTGTGGACCCGGTGGGAGAGCCTCCACAGAGTCAACCCCTCACTTGGTTGACCCTCTGGAGGCCCCTCCACCGGGCCCACCTATTCGGAGTTCGGAACGTAATTGTACAGAACAAAAAACGATATTTTATGTATACTTATTAGAAATCACAAGGTCAACAACTAACCAAAAACATTAGTTTCTGTGGACCCGGTTGGACTTTATGTAAACTTGCTAGAAATCACAAAGTCAACACCTAACCAAAAACAATAGTTTCTGTGGACCCGGTGGGAGAGCCTCCACAGAGTCAACCCCTCACTTGGTTGACCCTTTGGAGGCCCCTCCACCGGGTCCACGTATTCGGAGTTCGGAACGTCATTGTACAGAACAAAAAAACGATACTTTATGTAGACGTGGCGGAAGCGCCTCCACAGCGTCAACAACTAGCTCAGTCGACTCCCTGGAGGCCCGTCCAACGAGTCCGCGTGCTGACAACACGGTACACCTACAAGAATAACGATTCGCCAACAACAAGCACACAAACATTCCAGCTGCTTGGGTGAGCTTTTCAAACTCCAAAAGTTTCTTCCCAACCGATTCTTGTCCAAAATGCCTACCTTATACATCTAACGTTAGAAATCGGCAAACTCTTCAACGCAATTTCCACGAAGTCATGAATCCGCTTGTTGATCTTCCCAATTGAATGTAAAGTTTAACCGGGGTGGGAGTTTAATATTCCCTAATACCCTTGTTGATCTTCCCAATTGAATGCTAGGTTTAACGGGGGTGGGAGTTTAATATTCCCTAATACCCTTGTTGACCTTCCCAATTGAATGTAAAGTTTAAGGGGGGTGGGAGTTTAATATTCCCTAATACCCTTGTTGATCTTCCCAATTGAATGTAAAGTTTAAGGGGCCTGGGCGTAGTAGTCGTAGTAGTAGTAGTAGTAGTGGTAGTGGTAGTGGTAGTGGTAGTGGTAGTGGTAGTGGTAGTGGTAGTGGTAGTGCTAGGAGTAGTAGTAGTAGGAGTAGTAGTAGTAGTAGCAGTCGTAGTAGTAGAAGTAATAGTAATAGTAATAGTAATAGTAATAGTAATAGTAATAGTAGTAGCAGTAGCAGTAGCAGTAGCAGCAGCAGCAGCAGTAGTAGTAGTAGTAGTCCTCAAAGTAGTAGTAGTAGTCCTCATAGTAGTAGTAGTAGTCCTCATAGTAGTAGTAGTAGTAGTAGTAGCAGCAGTAGTAGTAGTAGTAGTACTAGTAGTAGTAGTAGTATTAGTGGTATTAGTGGTAGTAGTAGTCGTCATAGTAGTAGTAGTCGTAGTAGTAGTAGTAGTAGTAGTAGTAGTCTTCATAGTAGTAGTAGTAGTCCTCATAGTAGTAGTAGTAGTCCTCATAGTAGTAGTAGTAGTAGTAGTAGCAGCAGTAGTAGTAGTAGTAGTAGTAGTCCTCATAGTAGTAGTAGTAGTCCTCATAGTAGTAGTAGTAGTCCTCATAGTAGTAGTAGTAGTCCTCATAGTAGTAGTAGTAGTAGTAGTAGCAGGAGTAGTATTAGTGGTAGTAGTAGTCGTCATAGTAGTAGTAGTCGTCATAGTAGTAGTAGTCGTAGTAGTAGTAGTCGTCGTCGTCGTCGGCGTGCTTGCGTTACAAACAGTCGCACCTTCTCTTGCCTCTCCCTCCTGTCTTTTCCCCCCCTACCTTTCGTCCCCCCCCTCTCAAGTTTACATGAACATTATATACAGTAAATAATTCACTATTATATACAGTAAATCACCATCCATCATTGAGTACTATTGTGACATTTATATATAGCACTGATAATTATATAATTATATACAGTGAATCATTCACTTGGAAATGACGGAATTGAGACTAGAAAAATCCACCAAGCACATCCCATTTTGTTTGGGGGTATACATTATCTCCCAGTCCTTTGGCTCAGGAGGAAAGGCTCAGTGTTGGCGAGATGAGCTGCGTTGACAGGCTCCATATCTTCACGCAGCTCAGTGGTTTTCCCCAAAAAATGACCTGTGGATGCAGAAGTTGCCAGGTGTGTCAACAAATTCATGGATGTGCATCAAAAGGCGCGTGTGGGTCAGTGAATTTGATAATCTTTCCAAGAAGATGCTGATGCTGTTGTAGTGTTGTAGTTCGGTTTTGTAATGTGTTGGATCTTGGGAAGTTTCAGACATACTGAGTAAGCTTCTTTTAGCCACTATATAGACCAGATTTTGTGCTTGGCTGCCTTTGAGACTCTGGACATTGGTCGACTTGTCATCTTCCACGTTTCTGCAGGTGGGCACAGAACTTCAAAATGCCATGGCATCGGTTGGCTCCCAAGTGTTGTTCGCAGCTCCCAATCCCTTTTTAAGGGGTTGATCATAACCCTTCACCACATGACTCAAGAATGTGAGGCACAGCAGCCCATGCCCAGCGCGGAGTGATGGCACGCTGTGCCCAGGTGTCATTTTGCAAATAGACCATATAGAACCAGGACATCCAAACGTGGTAAAAGTAGAAGGGACTCGATTCCAGCCAGTCACAAGACATGGACCCAGTTGTTGCTTCCAGGCTAATATAGATCAACAAGCAGACTTGGCAATGATAGTTACTATGACGTAGTATAGTGACGCAGTGAAATCTTTTGGCAACTCGTCAAAAGTTGTGTTGATTACTACCAAAACTGTCTCAGCAGTCCGCAGTCTCACCCAGCGACATTTTGTCGTTGTCAGCGAAAAATCATTCGCAGCAATGGTTTGCATCACCCATCCCAAGACAAGTTTGTTTATGCAGTGAGACAGGTCCCCAAATATGCAGAGACGCAATCTCTATGTTTGAACCCCTGAGAGAGTAGATGTCAGTTGCTGATATAATCTACATTGACATAATGGATTTGGATCCCAAGGTGATATTTATATATATAATATAATAATGATAATAATAATTGAGAATAAGTAACAATAATTAATGATAATAAGTAATAATAATAATAGTAATCAATAAAACAAAAAAATATTGGTAATAATAATAATTAATAGAAGAATTAATGATAACAATTAATAATAATGATAGTAATAAAAACAAATGATAGTACATCATAATAATAATGATAATCTAATTAATGATAATAATAATAATCAATAATAATAATAATGGTTAATTCTTAATAATAATATAGTATATATATACATATATAAATAGCACCCCAGCACAAGATTTATCTTGGTCTTGGGCGATGGCTGACCACGCAAGGGAGCTCTCAAATGGGATAGGTCATGGTCGGTCCTACAATCTCAGGGAATCCTGCCAAATTCCATTTGAAACTAAGCATTTCCAGTGCAAGTCCTGCTTGGGTGTGCCAGACAGACTTCTTCCCTTTTTGATGTGTTTCAATGTTTCAATGTGTTGTTTCATATATGTTCACGCTGTTCATCATGTTCATCTAATTTATGCTCTGTGTTTTCTTCATGTTAATCTTTTTTTTGCCATGGTCACTGTCACCATCATCATCATCATCATCATAATCATTTGCTCCCAACATGCGCTCAACAGCTCTACGCCTTTGTTGTCCTGAAGCTTATGGCTCAGTGAGTCTGAGCAAAGGAGGTGAGACTCAACATGGATTCCTCCATCCACGGCGTGTGCCAGGGCATCCCAAGCTTCAACATGGCAGTCACAAAGAGCTCGAGAACAAGTTTGTTTACTAAGTTTAGGCAATCTCGCCATTCTCAAGGTCATTCTTCAGAGTTGCTCTTCTTGCGTCTTGCATTCATGATGGGATTTATCATTTGGGAGGGGATGAGAACCGCTTCTGATATGAAATGTTGAATGGTTCAACACCAATCAGAGGTGTTTTCCCATGCTGAATTTAAAGACGTCCGCAGTGAAGCCAAACTCCGGCCGGGTCTGAACCACGGCCTGCACGCCATCATGCGATTAGCTGGTGAGAGTGTGGAGCTATGGTTCCTTGACTGCACCAATGATGCAATAAGAGAAGAAATTGAGATGTAAGGCATACAAGATTGCGGTCCGAAACTCAATCGTGCGTGAACCGGTTTGCACTCAACGTATTGATGATGACATGATATGCCAGATCTGAGCATCTTTGGAAACTGTTGACCAGTGATCAAGTGTTGGTAGCTTGACCGAAAGCAATAAGAACAAAGGCTGACTTGAAAGCGAACGGATCTACATCCAAAAAGTTGTTCCACTTGCCTTCAGTTGTTAAGCGATAGGTTGGACATGGTTAGACAGTTATATAAATATATTGGTGAACAAAATGCGCTAAAGACATCAATTGATCATAATCATCCAATCATGTGTTCCATTTTCTTCCATACGTATCTCACCATTTTGAATCAAACGTCTTTGTTCCGTTTGTTCCTTCCCACCAACCCATTTTTCGGGGGTCAACGGGGGTCAACCCCTCCCCAGGGTGTGGGGACTTCAGGTCCGGGCAGCGGTTGATTATGATCTCCCGCAACGACGAGCATCGGCCGCTGGCGCGCTTCGGGGCCACCGTGGCCATGGCGCCGGACTGCTCGGCCGCGCCTGGGCGGTGAGATCGGTTTGGAGGTGGAAAAAACCCATGGGTTTTCCACATCTGCCGGGTACTTTGTGTTTTTTGTTGGCAGTTGTACAAGAGGGTTGGAGTTGATGGATAATGAAGTCGGAGTTGATAATGGCTAATGGATAATGATAGACTTCGATCTGAGCCATCTACAGATTCGTTCATGGTCACTTTTTATTGGAAGCACCATCAGTGATCATGTAGAAACAGTGCCAGAGAGTCAGAATCAGAATCTGTTTGTATCTCTTCAGCATCCCCCTAGAGGATGATTGGTCCGTTCCAATGGTATGGTTTTGCACACATTAGAGTCCACTTCTGGATAGTCCTTGGAGTTCACACGTGACTTTTGACGTTTGACTATTGTTCCAATCCACTGACGAGACTATATCATTATCATTCATGATCTATATTCCCAATATACGGGGGAATGAACATCCATTGATTTACCAGCTATTTTGGGGTGAACTACCATGGGTACAAGGCTGCTCTGACCCATGGTCGTTCCAGCTGAGGTCCTTGTCATGGGCGGGATTGAAGGACACATCATTGGAGGCCCCAGTGGCTGGTGGCTGGTCATGGGAAGGGCAGGATCCAGACTGAATCCACACTGATCTCTAGGACTAAGATGGATCAAGATTGTTTGAAAACAGTAAAAGTAGGGAAAAGATAGGTCCAAATTATCCACAAATAGGTTTTGTCCAGCTTCGACGACATAAATTTTCACCAGAGGCTTCCTTTTTGGAGGTGTGACCAGGGTTTTGGCCTGTCGGATCCTGTCGGCCTTGACCAGGCGTTTGCTTGAATGAAGTCTGGCGCTTTGATGTGGATGAGAAAATATGGAACCTGTTGGAAACACCTCCCTGGAGTCCCAGAAGGGGTGCCATCCCTGTTGTTTGCGAAGGTGCACGGTGGATGGATGGATGGATGGATAGACATGGACAGACCCTTCAGACATGGTGAGATAAGGCTCTGGTCTTGAATATCTAGATGTTGTCTTGTAGTTTTTCGCCCCCAAATATCCCAACATACAACTGACTGCTGATAGTTCTTTTGAATTTTGCAAAGCACATGTTCTCACTTAGTTTGTTATTGTAACAACAAACATATATTCCAACCATTTCCTACATATTGGGATATATTGTGTGAATCTTTTGGGCAAAGCCCAAGGTGGTCAGACACATCCCCTGCACCGCAGGCCGGCTGCTCCTTGTTGGAGGCACTGGATTAGATGCTCACCCCGTCCGGGAAGTTTGGGCAGCAGATATGCAGAGGCAGACTCTGCATGTGTCTCCTGATGTTCTTCTTGGTGTGGATGATTTCATGATGTTTGGTGCTTGTTTCTTATTGTTGTTGATGATGATTCCTGTTTCCTTCTGTTTTCCTGCTGGTAGCAATCTGTTTCCAACACTTCCACCTCCACCCATGATTTTCACGACTTTCCCATGACGCGTTGAGGTGGTATCCTGTGAATTGGCAGTCGACCTCGACCAACGCGCCCTGGGAAGATGCCATATGTGCCCTGTGGGCCTTTTAGCTGAACTTGGCACAGGTGGTGCATCACAGGGGCTCATTTGGGGGGTGAAGACCAAGGCCAACCTGGCAATGTGCTGTTTGGCTGTTTCATTGAAGTAACATGTTGGAATATTTGGAATCGACACTAGTGGAGTTGGAATTGGTATAGAACTAGAGGGTTTGCGGACGTGAGAAAGTCAGGCGATGTCAGGCGAAGTAGGATGAATTGCCACAACAGCGACTGGCATTGAGGTGTGTAATTCGCAAAACAATCATTATGGAGGCTGGTCATTCCAGAAGAGCTGCAGAAGCTGTTTCTTACCTTATTGCAATGTGCCTACCTTAAATTATCCTTAAAGCCTTAAAGTTGTTTTCCTTTGTTGTTTCTTGTGCACTTGGCGTCCATAGGCTTTGGAGACTACAATTGATCAGCTCTAGCTTGTTCACAGTGTCAGAAACATTGAAACGAACGATATGAACGCAGAAAATCTGTCCATCAGAATGGCCTTAGATGTTCCCTTCATCCCAAAGCAGCTTTTGGCTTCCCGTGCGCCAAGCACAGGTAGCCTCCTGTTATTCGACGCAACCAGTACGCTATGGTCGAGTAAAGATGACGGCTGCACCTGGAGCAAACTCGCCAAGCTGCCCTTTGGACAAGGCTCTGAACAGGTCCGGAGAGCGGAGAGCATGGCTGGTGGCTGGTGAAAGACTCATTTTAAAGGACCCTGAAAGCCACAAGTTCTTTAGATTGATTTGAAACAGTTTCAGTGAATTTACACTAAATTACCATAATCCATTTCAAAAGCAAACTTGTATTGCATTATGTATGGGATATTATGGGATTGCCAATTTTCACCCCTCCCCAGGTCGTAAACCCAATGCTGTCAATGCTACAGACCTTGTTTCGAGGGTATGGTTCTGTTCTGAGAATAGCAACTGGTGTCAGATGGTTAGCTTGGACGTGATCTAAAAGGCCACCCTGCCCCTTGGGGATTTACCCTCTGGTTATTTAACATAGCCATGGTATAGATGGTCCATTTATAGATGGTTTACCTATTCAAAAATGGTGGATCTTTCCATGGCTATGTTAAATAACCAGAGAGTACATGGGTTTACTATATGATTTACTATAAACAATCCAGATCCGTTGCAGGTGTTGGCAACTGTCATCAACTGTCCATTGTTTGGTGCTTATAAAAGCACCTCCCGATCTTTGATGGAGACCATCCACTCCATAGCTGCCTCACTGATCTTCGTCGCCCAGGCTTTCTTCGATTCCGCCACCCCAATAAACTCCTATCCATGGGTAAAGCATTTATGGGACTCAATATGGTAATTATTTTCAACTTATATATATATATAATATATATATAGTCACTAATTATTGTTACAGTAACCATGCCTTCTGGAGAAGGGCCGAACTGTATAAAACTTGTAGTTAGCAACTGATCACCATGTGTTCATTTTTCAAAATATCGTTGACATAAGCTATACACAAACTTGATATATGTTGATATCACCTATATATTCTGATACCATTTTATACCTACAAACTTCGTTGCCGTTGCACCCCACGGACCCCCCCGGGTGGCAGTTGGCCTTCGTTTGTCATTGCTGCGGCGTCCTGGTGGCGGTGACCATCTCCACCCGGGTTTGGATGTCGCAGGACCGGCGCCGTTGGGTCGGGGGAACTGGAATTTTGAAGGAAAAGGATTGGTTGATTTGCTTGGGATACTAATTTTAATGGATACTATAGATATATTATTATATTTATATATATTTGTATATTGTATATTTAATATTATACTATGTTATGTTATATTATATTATGTTATATGGGTTAGTTGAGTTATACTTGAGTTATGATATGGACATATGGACATAGAATTGAAATATGTATTGTACAGACAATGATTTGGATAACAATAGAAACGGATTGCGACATAGAAGATACTGAACATGAATACTGAATGATGAACCACGGAGAGTGGGAAATATCCGAACATCTTGATGTAAACTCCCGTACGACCCAGACATGTTTTATCATGAGTTGCTAAGCTTACAAGCTTTGGCAATTGGGGACACTGCACATGTGAATCACCTGGACTTCCTGAAGAGCTGTGCCGCAGGATGGTGTGACCTGGTCTGCAGCTGATGTTGCAAGGGGCGATCCTATGGGCCCTTATAGCAACTGGGAGGATGATGGCATACCCAGCTGTTTTTGTAGATTTTAAGCAACTCCACAACAGACTCACCAAGGGTAATCGGATTTCGGATGCAATGCTCCTGGTTAAAACCCCGGTTTGAACTGTTGAGGGACTTGCTGTGTGGTGAGTTTCCAGCAAACCGCCTTCACAGAAAACCGCTGCAGGCAATGGCAATTCTCTTCCAATGTCCGATCGACCACCAGGCTGGATTGCTGACAGCAAATCTAAATGGGAAGTGATGGACATATCCCATAGATTCCCCTAGATTCCCGTAGATTCTGAATGGGGGTCCCCTAGATTCCCCTATAGATCCTCATAGATTCCCAATGGGAATCCCATAGACTTCGGGCCTTCACAGCTGGCTCCAGGTTTACGTTGCCAAGTCACAGATGTGGTCAGTTTGGATTCCTCAGAGATGCTGGTGGTGGCTCGGCATCGAGAAACCTGCAAGCTCACTCTTTGGCGCCTAGCGCTGCAGGACCGATGTGGCCGGATCTTTGTGGTGGCGGTTGGGTATACCTTTTCTGGTGAATGGTTGTGCTTTTATGCTGATGACTGATGTGATCCGACAAAACTAGCAACCTGTTTCCTTCAAGACTCGTTTGCCTTCACTTCCATGCATTTTTTGAGGTAATTTTCATCAAATATATTTAAATCCATCCAAGCTGCCCGAAGTGACTTCACCACGGCCTTCAAAAGTGCCAGCAATATCCATGAAGCCCCGGTCTTGCCCGCAGGAAGGCAGAGCATGTTGGCAATGCCTGGTGCCTGACATTCACATCTATCCAGGCAGCGATGGCTCACTGGATCATCATTTAAATCATGGGATAAAGGGAACATATTGGGTCCAGCTCCCCATTGCCGATCGTCCAGTTGGTGCTGCAAAATTCACGAGAGGTTCTAGGACTTGGACCAAGCTTTCCCCCAAAAAAGGCACATGTGGAACAACATTTTTCACCATGTCCCATAGGATCCATGTATGGTATATATGCTAACATTTGGGGTATATTGATGGTAAATGTTACCATATATACTATACATGGATCCTATGAGTGTAAGAATGGAGTCTTCAACTTTAAAAGATCGCACCCCAAACCCCCGAATCCTTCCACAGGTTTCTCCTCGGTGAACCAGTTGGTGGCGGCTGGCCGTGCAGCTGTAAAGACACCAGAGGGCGAGGAGATGAGAGCAGTGTTCCTTGTCAATACAGAACAATGTAGAAATTTGAGCAACAACATTAGGGATTTCATCAACAAGCATATTTTTTGTGGATCGACCACCATTTTTATGGGTTTACTGCTTGAATCCCTAATTTTGGTCGGTTTAACCACAGTTTTTGCTTTAGCTGCTAACGGAGAGAGTCTAGATTGCGAAAAACTTTTTAAGGGTCTTGGGGTACCCACCGGCTTTGGATACATGCACAAGACATTTGAGGAGGATGCCAGCATGGCACGTGCTTATCAACTATTTGTCTCATTGACTTCTTGAGCCCTGGAGCTTCCTTGTGAGAACTTACTGCGACATCAAAGAATAGTTACTATATATTGTCAAACAAACATATGATATATTATATAGTTTCAACTTAAAATGTCATGTTTTCTCACTGTTAAGTTGCAAAATCCCTGAGGTACGTGGAGTTCAACCCCATCAACGAGTTCACTGTGTGGCGTGCGAGCCCTCTGGCGGTGGATCGCCATCGCCAGATGCTGGATCGCTTGGGCACGGGACAGACCAAGGTGGACATTTTCACCTGGCAGAAACTTGGAGTTTTGTTGATACCTATAGAGCCTCCTGTACCCATAAAGTGCTATGTTATAGTACCCCCATAAGTTTAGGGCACCAATTTAATGGTCTATTTGGAGGGTTTAGGTTGAAATTATGTTCTGCTAATACCCAAAGCATCAAACACTCCTTCCGATTCTTAAGTTTCTTTTGATTACCGTACACACATTTTTGGATCAGAGATGTGATTGGATGTGAATGAAGAACACAAATCTAAAATCTTGACAAGTGTCCGCATGTAATGAGGGAGCCAACACAGCCTGAGAAGGTTGAACATGATCACCTCAATCTCGGTGCCGTAAGGAAACACATCATGGGCGCTTTGCTCCCACAGATGGGCAATGATTGGGTCCCGCGTGGTTTGTCGATCCAAGCCATCCAAACCAGCGAGTTGCCATACCAGGAGGAGGATGAGTTCACATATTGGCACTAAGAGCCCCTGAATGTGGAACTGGCCTTTGGTTGCACGTTTCTTTGGAGGCAGTGTCAGCTAGGCAGTATCAAAAACACCCTGCAAACGCATGTTCAGTTTTGAGCGGTTCGCCCGCTTACAGCTGTTGATGACCTTGGATTTTGACGCTGACACTCAGAGTCGATGCTATGTTTGACTCGACCATTTGTCTCCAAAAAAAGTCTTTGCTGTGCATTAGCAAATCACTGGGCTAGGCCCAAGGAGCTTGCTGCTCTTCCATCACAGTCCTCGGACTTTTGCATTTGTCCTGCCACTGCATGTCTCTCAAGAAAAAAAACGATCACCATGATGATGATGATGATGATGATGATGATGATGATGTTGATGATCACTATCATAATTGAACCACCAATACAGGGTCTCTAACCAATCTTGCTTTGGATCCATGAATGGTGCAGAGGAATGTGCGGGGACTCCAAAAGTCAGGGCTTCATGCATAACATTCCATCTACAGGGTGAGGAACGTTGCAGCGTTGCAATGCGTAAGTCATGTAGCGAGATGCCCCCAAAAAGCCCTCTCCGCACGAGGACGAGGTCTGCGTTTTCACCAGTTTCGTTGTGATGCCATTGGTTTATGGGGGCTGAGGTGGATAGAAGGACATTGGGTTTGGACAGAACACGTAACTGTGGATGATGATATTTTTTATCAAAAGAGCATTTGCACCTATTGGTCTTCTTTAAATCCATGCAGCTTTCAGATCGTCAGATGCCGTTGAGAACTGAGCATAGGGCATGATGTAACTTTCAAATCAAGCCACTGAAACCCAAGCTTCGTGCTATGAACCTTGATGTCCATGGCCAATCTTGACCCAATTTGAAGCAAATGCATTCATTGTCTCACCAGGAGTTGCTGGACATTATTTTCTACAACCAAAATGTGTCTGGCAATGTGCTCCCAAACTAGTTTTCCTGTGTTGTCCACCATGTCATTAGTAACAGCTGCTCAGCCTGATATTTTCACATGAATTCCGGTCCATGACTTTGCCATGGGACATCCCTTTCGTCTATGAAACAACTGGTGCCAGCGCCACAACGAGCTTTGCGCTCCCTGGAGACTCGCAACGTGCCCAAGTTGTCGGATGTGGAAGGTCGCTTTCGCCCGCCCAGTCGCGGCCTACGTTTCTGGACGGTGCTCCGTGCCTGCGCGGGGCATGGGGACCCCTACCGGGTTCAGGCGTGGTTGGCGCGGGCCAAGGCCTACGACCTCCAGGTGGATCTCAGGGTGGCCAACTCATTGCTCCATGCCTATGCCAAGGTGGCGGATTTGAAAGCTGCGGAAAAAGCGTTGCTGGGATTGATCCGCCAAAAACATCATCCATCCACCGAGTCCTTCAATGCCATCCTGGCTGCATGTGCTCGAGATGAAAACATCTCAGCTGCCCTGAAGTGGTTTCAAAGACTTCTGGATACAGGCTTGAAGCCTGACAAGGTAACCTACCGTACCATGGTGTCAGTCTGCGCTCGCGCCGGAAATTTACCCTTGGCAGAGGAGTGGTTGGGCAGGATGTTGGATGCAACTGATGACAGGCTGGATGTTGTCAGTTGCAGTTCCCTCATCGGCGGCTATGCATCCCGAGGTGATGCCCAAAATGCCCAAAGGTGGCTGGAACGGTTGTTGCTGATTGGCCTGCGACCCGGTCCTTATGCCTTCAATCCAGTGATTTGTGCCTGGTCCTACGTGGAGGCTTCCAAAGCCGAAGCCTGGCTGTGGAAAGCCATGGAGACTGGGGTGAGGCCCAGTGATGTCGCACTGCAACGGACCCTGGCTGCGTATGTGAAGCAGCAAGACTTGGAGGGATGCGATCGGATGAAAGAACTGTTGAAAAAGTTACATCAATGGCCAGCAGCCTGGGCATTGGCGCTGCTGGCAAAGCCACATGCAGCTGCTGGGGACTTTGAAATGGTGGAAGAGTTGTTGGAAGACTTGAAACTCTGTCCCGAAGCGGAGGAATCTGATTTGCAGGCCTGTTTGAGGGCACTACTGGCAGCCTACGCACGTTCACCACGCAACCCGAAGGATGAGAAAGTGGCGCACTGTTGCGAACGGCTCTTTGCCCTGAAATCTTTGGACCGGGATGCCACTGCCCTGGGGGATGCCCGACGAGCCTTGGGTCGGGACGGCTATCAACGCCTGGTGGAGAGCTTGGGATTGGACGTGCAGCCGCAGATCCCACGGAAGTTGCATGCGCGCAGTCGAGTCGTTGGAACCTGGCAGGAGATCTCTCCCAGCTGAAATTTCGATTAAACATGGAGTGCTGTGGCGTTAGTTGGAGGATGGCAGTTGCTACCTGGTATGTTTGAAAGTCATGGCATACTTAGGTGATTCAACAAAGAGACTTGGCAAATGCAGGTTACCTTTTCTCAGAGTTCACAACTTGTGAGGGTTCCCACGTGTGGAAGTTGTATATCATTGAGTTGTATATCGTACCCAGAAAAAATCACCTTCAGGCGTCTTGTCCTTTACACGATGCTTCTGGAAACCTAGGCTAAAGTCCAGGTTGAATCTCTTTTGCTTCCCAGATATTGCTGGCTTTCATTCCTGGGTGGTTTGTCATGCAGCCTCAAGGAGGCAAGGTGTTCAGCTTGATCTAAGTAATCAGTGGGCGATTTGTGCCGTTCAGCTTGAGAGTCTGCGGATTGCAATTCTTCAGGCCATCTGGCTCAGTCCATCAAGTGTACAAGCTTAATGAGCAGAGCGGTAACAGAATGTAAGGACACACATGTATGAATCAGCTCTGCCAAACCGCCATCGGTACCTGAATTTGCGCGTTTATTTTTGTGAGGCACTATGCTGAAGAGGCAATCGTGCAAGTGCAGCACATTCTGATCTTGTCATATTCTTGTGGCTGCACCAGCTTTAGTTTCACCTCTGCTTTTGAAAGATGTAGCGATAGATACTTGGCAGACACTGCAGCTGTGCAATGACACAACTAAACTTAACCAGTGAACCACCATATCCCAGAGGTCAACAGTTTCCATGTGGCTTCATGTGGCTTCCTGGTGCCATGTCTAGAGCTGGAAGACTTGGATCATGCAGCTGGATGATTGCTGGATCCAGGGACTTCTCTATTCCCAGTACTTCTTGTGCTGCGTTCCCAGCAGATACCTCACGGCGGATGGCCTGCGTTTACCCGACTGCTGGCATCATGGCTGGGCGCGCCATTCACGTGGGCTGTGTTGCAGCCATGATCGATTCCAAAAGATGGAGGAAAAAGCGACAGCTCTGACAGAGAATGATACACCTTCGTGCGCCAATGCGGAGGAGCAGATCGTAAACTACGTTCAGGACTCGGCAGAAAGGCTATTTTATCTTGGGGAAGCCTTTGGAGACGAAGCGGTCGAGCAGCGACTCATAGACAAGGCTGATGATACCTATGAGGCTTGGCACTTGGGAGTGATGGATTTTGTCTTGCAGCCAAGATACTTGTAGATTTGGATCATGTGTGTTGAAGTGTGTTGATGTAGTATCAATGTTTTATCCATTGTTTTGACCAATAGCTTTAGATATCCCCTCACCGTGCAACAGTGGCCATCATCATTTTTTCCATTTGAGTGCTGGTCCTCTACTAAGCAGTGCTTTAGAATGATGATTGCTTAAGCCAGTTCGTACATGTATAGTAAGATATAATAGTCTATCGCAATATAGTGTGTTATGTGTTCATATTGATATAGGTCCGATAATTTTCCATGTATAAATTGGTTATGGAAAGTTATGAACCACTTGCTGCAGCCCATCAACCCATAGCGCTCCAGGCGTGCCCCGTTGCTTTGCTGCTTGCCTTGGCGGCTCGGGTCTGTCGCTTGAAACAGGCTCGACAGACCGATGCGGCAGATGTAGCGACGCCTGGTTGAAGTAGATGATGTAACATTAAGTAACCAACAAAACTGGGGGATTTACCCTCTGGTAATTTAACGTAGCTATTGGAAATGGCCATAAAAATAGTTGATTTACCTATTAAAAATTGTGATTTTCCATAGCTATGTTAGTTTACCAGAGGGTAACTGATTTAACCACAAGAAATGCAGAATTGCATGATTTCACCAACAAAGTTTGGGGGGATATCCGTTGGATATTCAACCGTCATTTTTCCCAACTTTGTTTTTAACTGACAAAGTTGTGGAACATGTTAATCCATACTAGGGTTCTATACAATGGGTTTGTAATTTGATACGAACCCAACATAATTTGGGATAACATTGGCCATGGAGTGAGATCGACGATGTGAGGCATGTTTTTTGTGGTGGTGTTGCGGCTTGTTGTTTCAAATTATATAAGGCATTCCAAGATAGATCCAGGTACATGGTTTGAGGATAACCATCTGATGTTCCAAGGCCAACTGCAAATCTGAAAGCTAGCTCGTATCTGTTGAAACATCAGTGGTTTGTTGGGAACTTATAACTTGGTTGATTGAACCAGACATTTGTGGTTTCATTCTTCTCTTTGGTTCCATTTGTGGTGTCAGCGTACGGTACCACATCCATCAGGTCCTTTCTCTCCCTCAGCACGTCCATCCAATCGTTGAGTCTGTTGAGCTGTACCACATCTATCAACCCATATCAACCCCCAAACAGATAGAAAAAGTATGAACAAGTCGTAGATTGTCCCCCTTTCTGTATTTTCTTGTGGGGGCTGCTATAGATTTTTTAGATTTATTGAGGTACCACATCTACGAGTTCTGGAACTGCTTGGTTTGGAGCCAGACCTTGGCATGGTCCAACATCATCGATCCCAGGGTGCGTTCATCACTGCATGCAGCTGCTGCCTACGTGCAGCTGATGAATGCCACTGGGCGGCAACCTGCTGGGGCTGCCATGGTTGGAAACCAGCAACATTTGTTTAAACGTCAATATGTTTGGATAATATATTGATGATGTATAAGTTGCAAAATTGTTAAATTGAATTGCGGGGAGGTGAATATTATGGACTAGTTGCATTGGATTTTGTGGTGCTTCATGGTTTCTTTTGGGTGTGTATGCTTGGGTGTATGTTTTTGCCATGTGATCACCTGTATAGTTTGATGTTGATTCGTATTGTGTTACCTATTTGAAACTCATGATTCATTATGTTCGGATTCCGAGTCAAAGATCCTTGCCACCGGCTTTGTTCTTCCTAGGCAATGGTGTCTCACCCACAAGAAACTTGCCATAGCTTTGCCACCAACATGGCCATCATGCTGAACGATGCAGCTGGACTGTCCTTAACCACATCGAAATCGACAGGGACTGGGCTTGGGTCAGTGGGATCATGGTGGTTTTCAGAAAAGTTATTGGTGGGATGGGCATCCCAGGGACATCTAAACGACACTGCAGGAGGAATCTGATTGCGTATCCAGATGTGGCGCGAACTGCTTTGGTTCTTGGCTCTCAAGGACAGTCCTTTTTCATCCTTTTTCTGGGAGAAGTAGGGGGTCAACTTGGTTGATACTGCACCAAACCCTGGAGTTGCTGAATTTCTGATTCTAACATGAAATCAATATGGAATATATATGGCTCATGTGACCTATGTGAGCTATGTGATTCTAAACATATATCCATGTGACATATATCTGGTTTAAGAATTTTCTGCTCATTTTCACATATTCACGTTCATGCATCAGAAATCATGTCGACCAACGTGGACCAACGTGGATCCGGAAGGAGATCTCTTGGCACCAGAAAAGGACTGCCTGACAGCCCTTGCCCTGGCGCATGCCTTCAATGCTCGGCGCTTCCTGGATATTCGCCATGACCTGGCGCTGCTGCACATGCGCAAAGCTTTGGAGGTCGGTTTTTCAACAGCAGTGGCTGGATGTGGCTGGTAAACCACCATGGGTTTTTCACGGATTTACGATTGATGATACATACACCTATAGCATCAGCTAGTAATGTATTCACCTAATTGTTTGATGGAAAACCAGTATTATAGACGTGGCATAGCCCTGTTTATTGGTGATGTGCCTTTCATGCCACCACTCACGAAATCAACAACTCATTTGCTGATCGAAAATTATCCCCAAATGCATCGTTTGGCCACAATCGCTCGCTACCTGCATAGAAAAAAACAAGGGTTATCATGCTACATGAGCATATGGCTCGAAAAGCAAAATGCACGGAATGGGTCGAATTCTCATGCAAACTTGTTCACACAACTTGCAGTTGCTTCCTCTGTGCTGCGATGGGGCGAACGTTGCGATCATGCTTTCTGGTGTTGCTATTCCTGAGCTGCCGTTTTGAATTGCGTTCGATGTGTTTTGCCATGTCCTTTCAAGACAGGGCCAAAGCCGAGAAACCATTCATTGAAGCCAACTGCTTCCCTCCCTTAAGACACATGCGTCAGGTGAAGGCAAGTGGCAGGGAAATCCCGATTCTTTTCTATCCAGTCAGCAAGTGCAGAAGTTACAATCCGAAGTACATGATCAGTTGGGCGCATTCCCCCAATTCCTTGGGCTCCAGTCGGACTTCGCATCGGCCAGACATGAATCTCAGCACAGATGTGTCCGACATGTGGGATCGAGGTGGAGATGTGGATGGGCCTAGGAAGGTGATTGAGGAGATTGGAGAGGGCCTTTCGGCGCGCGCTTTTGGAAACAGGCGGGGGAACCGACTGCTGAAGGTTGCAGTGCTGGCCCGTTTGAGCTCCGTTGAGAGAGGCAAGAGCTGGTGGACCACTGGAGGACGAGTCACAATGCATCAGATCACCAATCTGAAAAAGGTGATTCATAAGCCAGGAAAAGGTGATTCATTTGAGTCAGACAACCAAACATCGTGGATTGTCGCATTACGAACTTGCCACTTCCGAGTTGGACCAACCCATCAGTCCTTCACAGCTGTGGCACCGGCGGAAAGCATACTGGGGCAGGGGGGGCAGGGGCGACGATACGTATTCAACTTTTGAGCGACATCCTTTGATCATCCGGACTCCGCCTTCTGGTCGCAGCTTCTGAGATTGAACTCTTATCTGGAGAGATTCCAGCTCCTGCAGAAGTCTTTTTCAGCCGAACTGCAGTTCTTGGAAACCAAGGCGGCTCAGGGACTGTCCTGAAATTCCGCCAAGATGCCGCAGGGAACCATGGCCTTGGCGACGCAAAGTGCATGCAGATTCGGAGTTTGCCATGAGTGCGTCAGACGATTTTGCACATATCACAACCCCCCAATGTGGAATTTGGGTGAATCAAGTTTTTTGTTTTGATGTGGCAGGGAAATGCGCAAAAAAACAGTGCATGTGCTCTATCACGGTTTGACAGGAAAACCTACTTGTTTTTAAAGAAACCAAATTGAGAAACCATGCATTTACCACAACATTACATTGGTATTTTCACACAAGAGAACAAATAACCTGAAGCGGCCTAAGTACAAAAAAAGTTGAACTCTTGGTCCATTGAACGCAAGTGCCCCACAAAGAGACACAAAACCCTTAGATTGTACCAAACGTGCCATTTGGATCAAACGGTCAGTTTTGAATAGATACCTTCACTTTTTGGGCCAACAACCCCATGACCAAGTTCTCAGTGGTAACCTTTGATGATGCTATGGTCATTGGGAGCACTCACATGGATGTTCACCCATGGCAATCAAACAATTTCGAGCATTTCGGGATTCATTTGAAAAGGCCACCATTCAACCTATCTTATCTCATGCCCACATAGACCTTGCCGCGATGTTGGTCTTTGTGGAGATCTAAATCTTCTTGAAGGCGGCTTCCCGCCCACAGCCCTGCACTTTTTTCTGCATGGTTTGCAGCATCGCATCTTGATCAGTTGATCATTGGTAGAAAGACCTTAGTGCGGCAATTGACACATACCTTTTCGATGCCTATGGCCTTTGAAGGCTCAGAACACATGTGGCAGTGTGCCCGTTTTGTATCAGAGAAACGAATGCATGCTGTGCATGTCAGGATAGGATCAAGATATCCCCGCACAAAAAACACGAAAAACATTTTTCTTTAAAAGATATGTCTCATTCCGCGCTTGCAGAGCAATGGGAAGCAGTGGGGGAAATTCGGGACAAAGCTCGAAAGTTGGAGTTGGTAACTTGCATGTACATATTTGCAAAGTGCATGTGATATGTAACATATACTTGTGTGTTGATCCCTGTCCCTTTGAAATCTTTCACTCTCCTATTCTGAGGTGGAAGTGCTGGATGGTGAGGTTGACCGGGATGCTGTGCGGAGCAACATTCCCGTCTTGAAAGTTGCTGCGCGCTTTCTAGGGCTTCGGGTTGGTGTCCGTACATGTACGGTTCATGTGCAAGCTTTGTACGACTACATGCGCGTTCCCTGCCCCAGATGCTTTGTCTTTTACAGAAATGCAAGTTTACATATAAACGCAAAATAAGTGCCATATCCTGACTTATTTTTGCTTTGTTCTCATCACTTGCTTCTTGTAGATGTGGATGCTCATGTGTTGGATGTTCTCAAAGGGGTAGCTTATGAGACAGATTTCAAATGCATGTTTCACAATTCGACATGCACATATATATGCATGTCTTTTGGATGTACTGTAAGGACTCACTTACGAGACACAGGGATGGCAATTGAAACGCTTGTTGAGTTTCACAAAGAACAGATTGGCAAATCGTCCACATCGGCCTCGCGACCCATGTCTTCGAGAATACATGTCCAGTATTGGTATTACTTGGCCAGAGCCAACAACCAACAAAGATGAGGGGAGCGACGATGAGTCATGTACAACCACTGAGTCTGAAGATACTTCAGAGAGTGATGCCGAAGAGCAGGTTTCCACTTCTAGAAAAGAAGAAGTAAGTGAGGAGAACAAAGCAAAGGGCAAAGTAAGTGAGGATGGAGGCAATTGTTTTATTATATATATGTTTTCCAACCCTTAGTTGAAGCATGTGCAACCAAATTTCAGTTTGCATTACATGTATGCCCGTATCCAACCCACGCCCTGCCCGCTTTGCAGGTGAAACGGCTGCAGCTTCTCTCTCCACCAGTCAGGTGGCCACCCCTGTGAGCCCATTGGTGGCCACCCCTGCGAGCCCATTGCTGGTCACCCCGCCTCCCAAGTACCCGGTTGTTCCCGTGGTTACACCAGACCCAGTAGGTGTGCCAGTTTCTTGGCTCAATGGTATTGTATGATGCATGCACATGTAACAATCCTGCCAATGGTGTTGTATGCATACGCATGCAAATGTATCAACTGCCAATGGCCTTTTATGTAATTATTTATAATATATATATATGCATGCAAATGATTACTTGCAAATATAGTGCTGGTGTGACATGTTGCTTCTGATATAAGCGTAATGGGATGTTGGGTTCATACTGTCATGCTCTCAGGTTGACCTTGAAAGGAAGCGCCGCCAGTTGGTCATGCTGATGGAACTGGAGAAACAACTTGAAACCCTGAAGCGTTTGGAAGACCTAGCAAGTGTTGCCCAGAGTCAAGAGCCTGAGACACAGCAAGGAGCCACTAGCTCTACATAGATGAAATCATATCATATAAATATATGGTTGCAGCTATTGCTTGTTACCGCCCTACAACCCTATGGTTGTGCATGTGCACGCACAGGACTGCCTTTGGACATTGATGTCGTGGACACACTTCCTCTTGACATGGGGGCTGTTGATGCGCTTCTGAGTGAGGAGTCTTAACTATATTTGCTGCCACTACAAGATCTAATGTTGTGTTTTGAATTGGACGTGCATCCGGCAATTATTTTGGGTTTTCCAGGAGACATCTACAAAGCTCAAGATTTCTACCTTTGATGGCAAGGCTTTCAATTTGTCAGCCTGAACCTTTCCTTGTGACCAAAAAACCAGCTACCCTTCCTGCAGCCTCTGACAGGTTCCTGAACCTACTGGACATGAGCCTGCTGGGCCACCGGGGACCGAGTTGGAGGAACAAACTATAGTTGCAAGGTTTCACTTTTAGGATTCACTTTCGATCGAGTGCGTGTGTAATTTCTTTGGGGGTGTTCCAGGAAGCTACTGGGAAGCCTGCTGAAGAGTTTCCCATGAACAAGGACCAGGCCCTTCAAGGTATATTTTTGAACCCCATATTGCCCACAGAGCCTACCCTGTGCTACTCCAGGCAATTGGTGATGAAGAACCGCCAAGAGAGTGGAAGGAGCAACGCGCTTATACGGCGCATACCTTTAACATGATATCAATCAGAAAAGGGCACCCTAGATATGTAAATTGACTGACTATGGGAGTTATGGTGGGTTAGGTTCTGAAATTTTACAAGTCATATGCTTGCAACTTAAAAGAAGGGTGCCTTTCCCTGATTGGTGATCAAGCAATCTCATTTGATGCATCTGTGGTCACCGTATCATGCAGATGAGGCATCACACTAAAAATGCACACACCAGCACCATCACACACACACATACACACCAAAGCCATTCACAAATTTATAGGACCTTTCTCCTGAACCTGAACAACATCTACCTGGAGAAGCCGTGGCTCCAACCGAGGATGGCCAGGGTTTTTAAAATGTACTTGGCCCCTTCTCTGATTTCCCTAGTGTTTCCATCCTGCGTTTTTCATTGAGCGTCGTGCCAATTCTTGCAAGGAGGCAGCATCGATTCCTGATGTGCTGCCGGGTCTCAATGCAGCCACTACCACTGAGGAGTCTGTGGTTATATCTGATTTTCCCGAATGTTTATCGTTTGATTTATATAGTTGGTTTCAAGATTCCTGTCATACTGATCATATATGGTCACCTATGGCTAAATATATAGACCCACAGATACCGGACAAGTACATGGCCAATAGTATAATTCATGGTCCATGCTATCCCTGTCCTTCAGGAGTCTGCCGCGG